TCTTAATGTAAACTCTGATAAAGACAAACAAAATGTTATGTTTTGAATCATATTTGTTATGCAAATCTTTTATTTATGTTTGTATTAGTATTTAAAATATAAAGCTCAACATAAGACTAACAAATAAGTACAACAATATATTTTGAATATAACATAACCTCTGGATATGATTTCAATACAAAACAAATATATTTAAAAATAAAATCCATTTCTCTGTAGGCCTTACTTAAGATCTTAGTTTAATGTTTATTCCTATTGAATATCATGTGATATACAGTTAATTGAAGTTATTTTAAAATTTTATGAAATAAAATAAATCTTATTAAAAAATATGTGCATTTTTTCTGTACACTATATGCAGAAGTAATTGAATTATATTTAGTTTTCATATGAAATAATACATTAGTGAACCAAATCTGTATAGCAAATGGCAAATGACTTCCGAATATAGTATTTTTTGTTTTGCATTTATTTTTGTTGTTTTGCATCTCTCGAAGACATGAATATTAAAATATAGATAAGAATTGTTGACATTTCGACTGCTATTTCATTAATGCCAACATTAAATGATACTATTTTTAATTTTTGTTTTGCATTTATTTTTGTTGTTTTGCATCTCTCGAAGACATGAATATTAAAATATAGATAAGAATTGTTGACATTTCGACTGCTATTTCATTAATGCCAACATTAAATGATACTATTTTTAAGCATTATAGTGAGTTGATCTGGATTATTTCATTAATTGAAACTAATTTGTAAATAAAATATATTATGGTATAAATTCTTTGTAAAAACATGGAATAAATTTAAGCATAATTTTGTTCTCATGGATTAACATTAATTATATGAAATTATGATAAAGTAAAAAGAAATTAAGGATTAAAAGATTATACATGACTAGAATATACAAATGACTTGCATTAAATAAATTTTAAAATAAATTTTATATTTGGATTTGTTAAGAACAATGTTTAGTATATTATTTGGGCAATTAGTTTTTAGAAAAGCATAACACTTTGAAAAATAATTTGTTATTTGTTATAATTATTTTGATAATAGAGTGTTATCTGTGTATTGAATTGTAGTTCAAATGTAATGTTAATCGCATTCACGACTGGAAGTGCATTACTTGGTCTCAGTTTTATAATAACGATGTCTTCTCAATACGACAAAAGTCCATATTTTGTGAAACAACTGTCACTTATAGTGGAGGAAAGGCGTACTGTTAGGCACTGCTTGTGTTTGGCTGTCATCGCTGTCATCTTCATCGCATCCCTGTCCACTCTGGTATGGGTTTTCAATTGTAAATTCAATTATTGAAGCAAACAGTTGTTTTTCAAATTAAGTAGCAATAGCTTATTGTATAGAAAATTAATACAAAAATTGGATTCATTTTTAATGTAGAATATTGAAAATAGGATAAAATGATAAAGTTGTTAAATAACAACTTTTTAAATAAAAAGAAAAGTTTTTAAAATTATTAAAATAATAAAATAATAAACCTATCCAAAAGTTTATATTTTTAATTTTATATTAAAATATAAACTTTTGGATAGGTTAGTTATGAGAATTATTAATATTTTTTGATTTAATAAATTTTGATTTGTTTGATAAAATAATTAATTAATTCAAGAAATTTTGTTAGATAATTTATAGTTGAATAGAAATATTGAAATATTGACTAAATATAAAATAAGATGAATTTTGAATGGTATGATTGTATTGAGCAGTTTGTCTGCGACCGCACAACCTATCTGTTGGGCACAAACATGACGGGCTCGCCATCGCCTGATAGCTACGAGTGCTTCTATCCTCAGGTATTAACACAAATCCATTATAACATCGCATCCAAGACCTCATTATAAATAATAATTCATTTTCGATAAATAAATATTATATAGATATAAAGCATGCCATGTCTTAAAAGACTTTAAGCTCTCATAAGATTTAAAGTCATAGAAGGAAATAATAAATTATTTATAAATTACCAGTAAATAAATATATTGTCAAAGAATTCTCAAGAAAGGATTTAAGTGCAAGTCTAGTAAACAATTTGTCATTTTTGTGAAAGTTTTTAAGGGACTCAACAGATGACAAATTTGTAATACTGTAGTAATTTATGCTAGCACAATCTCAAGCTTAGCACTAAGTTCTAGTATTATTTTGTACAGTTAACCTTAGTAGCCCATTCAAGTTTGCACAAATGAACTTGGTGGACTGTACAATAACTTGCATAATGGGTTAGGTTATGACAAATGATTGAAACGGTGATAATTAATGATGTATTAATTTGTATTTTACAGTACTTTGTATTTTGTTGGATACTAACGATGATAGCGTCGGTAGCATTTCTGAAGCTGTCATATTTGCTCAAATTCATAATATTGGCCGCTATGGCAACCATTTATCTAATTCTCGTTGAGTTTGTCTTCAATAATGTATTCTCGAGGAGTCAGAGCTGCGGAATGTCAATGCAATACGACGGGTGAGTTGTAACTACTGTTCCCATTAGACCACTACTAACACAGACCCGCAATATATGAATACG